CATTTTCTCTTGATGTTTTTTTTCTTAGGTAAGCTCTTCTTTGTTTTGTTGTTGAGACAGTCTTGCTATGTACTTCAGGCTGGCTTTGAACTCACTGTGTATTTCAGGCTGGTCTCAAACTCATGGTGATCTTCCTGCCGCAGCCTCCCGAGTGCTGAGTTACAACCACCATACCCAACTAAGCTCATTTTCTTGTGGGAGTTAAGAGAACCATAAGCAGTCAGCTAATTTGGAAAAAAGAACCTTATCTCAATATTCCCTCAAAATTACTTCAGTTGGCCTAATGTGCATCATGTATCCATTTATTTATGAACCTGCCCCAGTCACTGTCACTGTAAGAGATGAAGTGTTTTATGTGACTGACAAGCCTAGGTTCTAAGCCTTAATTCTGTTGTGATAGTAGTGGTGTGCCTTGATTTACAAATTAGTAGTTCTTCTGGCATCACGTAGGAGTTGGGGAGAAGCAAAGCTCAAAATGAAAGGTTGCAAGACATACTAAGAGAAAACATATGTAGAATATATATGTAGACATATATGTAGGATATATATGTACACATATGTAGAAAATAGGTGTGTGTTTATACACATTATATTAGTGTTTTGGGAGTCATTTTGATTCTTGCATTATTTTACTTTTAAAGTCTTGGTACTCTTTTATATTGGAAACTTCTTTATGGGATTTCCTACTGTTCTCTGTAACCAGTGGTACCTTGATCTATGCTCATTTAATACACATTTTTTTCACAGATAGGTTTGTAGAATGTTTTGAGAGTTAAAAATGACTAACTCTGGAGTTTCAAAAATGGTGGCTTGCTAGGGGATTGGGCGGAGCGTCTCTGTGGAGAAATCATATTAGATGCTAGAATATGACAACATGGAAAGGGCCAGACGAATGGATAATGATTCTTATTAACCAAGACAGTGCGGCTAAGGATTTAAGGTCGTGCTGAGACTGCGGCTGCTGATAACGGGAGTCTGCAAATCCCAGACCTTTACTGTGGCACACTGACCAGTGGATCCAAGAGGAAAAGCTGTATTGGCTTTTGGCGACTGCTGCAAATTGAGACCCAGGACCCCGCGAAGCAGCCAGGGCCACCTGGCTGTACCAGAGGAGATTGTAAGAAGCTCCGGAGCTCCAAAGCCAGACTGTGCAGTTTTCTGACCGTTCCACACTGTATCGGGAACGCAGTGAAATCAAGCGGCGCAGTGTGCAGTAGACCCAAGAGGAAGAACTGCATTGAGTCCTGGTGAATACTGGGGACTGGGTCCCGCGGCTTCTGTGGCTGGCTGGAAGACATCTTGGAATTGGGCAAAGCCCGCCACCATGGTGGCATCAGTAACACGGAGAGTCTGGTGGAGGACATCTTGGAGTTGGGCAGAGCCCTGCGGCTCGGTGATATCAGACTGTCGCCCGTGGTATAGAGAGGTCTGGTGGAGGACATCTTGAAACTGGGCAGGGCCTGGCACCATGACGGCATCAGTGACACAGAGAGAAGTATTGGAAGACATCTTGGAATTGGGCAGATCCAGTGCCATGATGACATTAGATAGTCACTCCTGGCACAGAGAGGTCTGGTAGAAGATAGATGGGATTTGGGCAGAGCCCTGTGCCATTGTGACATAAGTCAGCTGCTTCTGGCACAGAGAAAACTGGCAGGATCTGCTGGGGCTGAACCAAGCCTCTGGTTGGGACCCAATAAGCAGATACAAAATAGTCTCAACTCTGTGACATCCACAAAGTACAGCCTAACTTGCGGATTGACTGGCACAGAGGCTGGAGGCTAGCCTGCACCATCCCTGCATCCCTGCCTACCCTAGATAACAGCAAATTGGGGAGGGCAGCAAAAACTCAAGTCGGCACACTTCTGAAAGGCCCTAAACAATACGGAGAGGGCCAGAGACTCCCTGAGCACTTCAGTCTGAAACAAACTAGAAACATGACAAGAGATAGAAATAAAAAAAAATCTCCAGCTGCCTAACATGAGAAAATAAGCCTAGGAGAAGTAAACACAGAAGAGAACAAGCACAGTAACCATCCAATACTGGACACAGCATCAGCCAAAATAAAAAAATTCCTCCATGACCTCATAGATGAATTTTTTTTTTTTTGTCTTTTTCCTTTTTATCGGTACCAGGGATTGAACTCGCGACTGCCTGCTTGCAAGGCAGGCACTTACGCTGCTGAGCTAAAGCTCCAGCCCCTACCTCATAGATGAATTTAAAGCTGTACTCCTGATCCAAGTGAGGCAAGATATGAAGAGATTAATTAAAGAAATGATAAGCCCCACCCAAGAGAATACAGATGGAAGAACGAAGGAAGTCAGAAAAGAAAGAGAAACTTCTGAAGAAGAATTTAAACATAACTTAGAATACATAAAACAGATCCAAAGAGATTACCAGGAAACTAAAAACTCTATTGAACACTGGCAAAATGCCTTGACAGAAACTAAAGTTAGCCTTTTGAAACTTGAAGAGAGATTTATGATATATGATTGTGAAAGAAAAGACCTCTTAAAAATAACGAGGAACCAGAAAGAAAGAATTCAAAGGCTAGAAGATGACAAAAGGATAGATAACTTAAGAATAAAGCATGTGGGGCTGGGGATTTAGCTCAGCGGCATAAGCGCCTGCCTTGAAAGCAGGCAGTCATGAGTTCGATCCCTGGTGCTGATAAAAAGGAAAAAGACAAAAAAAAAAAAAAAAAAAAAAAAAAAAAAAGAATAAAGCATGTGAATGAGGAAGCAGGAGCAATCAAAAATGAAATACAAAGAATATTCACAGGTATATTAAAGGAAAATTTCCCATTTGTAACAAAAAGAAATGATACCCAGATAAAAGAGGCATAAAGAACAACAGCTACCTACAACCAAAACAGATCTACACCTAGACATATAATAATCAAGATTCCAGAAATCCACCAAAAGAATAGAATATTAAAAGCAGCCAGGGAAAAGAAGCAGATTACCTACAATAGGAAAATTATCAAAATAACAACAGACTTATCAATACAAACTCTTAAATTGAGAAGGGAATGGCGAGAAATATTCCAAGTCCTAAAAGAAAATAATTTGCAACCAACACTCATATACCCATCAAAACTCTCTCTCAAAATTAATGGAGAAATAAAATGCTTCCAAGACAAGGAGGAACTGTGGGATTTCGTGGCCATCAACCCAACCCTAGAGAGAGTGCTGAAGGACATTCCAGAGAGAGAGAGAGAGGAAGGGATACCAGGATTCCAGCAACAGTGGCAGAGAGGCCTCAATGAATGGGGCAGACAGTGGAATGAGGGAGTAAGGTGGACAAATTATAGGAGTAAAGTGGAGTAGCAGACATGAGGCAGACAGTAAGCTATAATCTTTAGTATATATAGCTTTGATACAATATAAAAAAGGCAGAGGTCATTGTTAATAGTGTATCAGGATTTAAGTAGACACAGTAGTCTTATCGGCTTGTTTAGTTTGAATTTAATTTATTCTGGCCTATCCACTCATATCAGATTTGAGGGCACAGACATCTGACCCAAAAATAGCAGGTTATACCATGGTAACTATCCTTAATTTCCTATTAACTGAAGCTGAAACCCTGTATTACTTACATTGTCTTAGGATGACTGATTTTATTTGAATCTGATTCTTTAGACCACGGTTTTGCCTTGGCTGATTTTATTTGAATTTGGTATGCTTGATAGTATCAACCCTAAAAGTAGAGGCAACTACTCTGAAGATGACAAGATGTAGAAGATATCCATACTGGTATTGATTATTAACAGCTCTCAAGTCCTACAATGTTTTCAAAGTTGTGTTTTTATAAAAATAGCTATTTAATACTATGCTTAATTATATTAATCCCAATGATGTGGCCAAGTCTATTGAAATTAACAAGAGAAAGCATAGTAACTACGGTAGATCACCTAATATTGTAATCTTATGTGTCTTTTTCATTGCATGTTTTTCTAGGAATTTGTTTTGTTGTCTTGTTATGATTTGTTTTTCCCTATAATACAGAGAGGTTATATTATACAGGTAGAGACTCACACATGAGAAGATTTTTAAAAAACTATTTACAGGCAAAGATTATATACTACAAGATGTAATGAACAGATTATGAACAGATACTCTGAAGAAGAAGAGACACTGAGAAACCCAATGCTAATTCTGTGGCATTATGGTATAAAATCTAGCAATACTATTACTCACTGATCCGAGTGATATTAGTCTAGTCTCTTACGTTCAATTACAACATATTTAAAGATAAGGACAGCTACTACAAACAGAATGAGAGACACTGTGGTAGTTATTCTCTTCCCCAATATCAGATCTTGAAGACCTAAAAAGCCTTTATCATCCTGTAATGATTTGATTAGTTCTATAATATGCAGTATGTATTTAATGTGTGTGAGGATGGGGACAACTATTTGGAAGAAACTAGAGACAATTAGATAATCAGTGATATTTCTTTAAATTGTTTTTTTTGAACTGTTTTGTTCTGTTTTGATGTGTTTAATCTTACCCTATTTAAGATAAAAAACAATTGTGTAGGACTGATAACCATATTACTAAGTTTTTGTTAGATCATTGAGCAGAATTGTTGGCAGTGTCACTATTTGAATGTCATTTTACATACTTTAATTTTCTAACCTGAACAGCTATTTCTAAGATGACAATATGTAACTTATCAACTGGTGATTTCTTACTGTTTATTTTTCTGTAATTCTGTATTATTTCTACCCTTTTTTATCTCCATGTATTTTTTTGTTTCTTTCTCTTTAAGTAAAAAAAAAAATGGCTAACTCTGCATTGTAAAACTGATACTCGGTTGGCCTTCGTGTGCCTCTATAGCTTTTTTTAAGGCGTAGATTCAGTTGCTTATACAATTACTTGCTTATGTAATTGTACTACTTGCATATTGGTCTAAAAGTGTGAATTTTTAAATTTCTTGGCTACTGCTGTTAAATTCATTTGCCAGATGTTTTACAGGCAAATTCTTTTATCTTACAGATGGATATAAATCTGAAAGAACAGGTTGTCATTTTAGATGAAGCTCATAACATTGAAGACTGTGCTCGGGAGTCAGCAAGTTATAGTGTGACCGAAGTTCAGCTTCGATTTGCTAGAGACGAACTGGATAGTATGGTCAGCAATAATATAAGGAAGAGAGACCATGAACCCCTACGAGCTGTGTGCTGTAGCCTTATTAAGTAAGAATATTTGTCTATTAATGTATTTGTGTTGCCTTTGTATTGGGAACATGTTTTATTATGCCACACTATTAAACTGATTAACCAGGGTACTTGGGAATTGGGTTCTTTGACAGTAAAACTCTGTAAAAAAAAAAAAAAGGCAGTTCAATCTTTTGTCATGTTCAAAAGAATGTAATGAACATAATTGATTTTTAAAAATTAATAATTGGAGTCTTATTCCTAATTAAGGAATATAATTTTTAACAGCCCTACAGAAAGGGTATGAACAAAATAAAACAGAAACCTTAACATGGTTGGAACATATTTTAAAATTTTAGGTGATGGCTTTATTTGTTGCTTTATTCTCCAATTTGAGTAGGATTCTGGTTTGATGATTTTTAATTAACCATAATTTCAGTATTTTTAAAAAGATTTAGTATTAATTTTATTAAAATTTATATAATTTTTCTTTTATTTGACTTTAAGTTGTTGATCTAGAATCTCATTATATTATTAAAAACCTGCTTTTCTACATCTCATTTTATGTATTATGTTATTTTTCTGTTTCTTTCATTGTCTGTTTTTTAGAAGTCTGACTGCTAAGCAATAATGTGGTTTGAATCTAAAATCTCTGCAAGTTCATAAAGTGAAAATCTCCTTTCTATTTGGCGCTTACTGTGTAGTTCCTATTTTCAGCAAGTTTGTCATTCAGGGCGTATTTATGTTTGTGTGAATTAATGTAGATATATTGTCTTAGTCTTTATTTTTTTGTCCAAATGATCACATATTATATACACTTTTTTTAAATCAAAAAATACTTTTTTCCCTGTGTTTTGAAGATCATTTCATATCAAGTCCTCAGAAGCTTTCTTAGTTTTAAAAAAGTTTTTAAAAAAAACCTAGAGCTGAAGTTTAGGTCATTGCGGGAGGCCTTATTTAGTATTTGTGAGGCCCTCAGTTTATCTCCAGGGCTGCAAAAAAGAAGGAAAAAAAAAATAGTTGCCTAGAATTCCATTGAATAGCTATATAATAATCTGTTTAAGGAGGTTTTCTCTGCTGTCACACCAGATAACATGAAGTCTGCCAGAAGATTCTCCTGGCTCGCAAGCTGTTCAGCTGCCTCAGAAATCACTGAGTGTCCTCTAATTCAATTCAGTTCAGATATTATCTACCTGGAGATAGTATCAGATCCCACAGGTTAAGGGCTGTATGCCAAGACAGCTCCTGTCTTTAGAAGCCAGTCACAAGCCACAGTTGTGCTTCTGATTGACCAGCTATTAACCATGGTTTCCATAGCCCTTTCTTTATTTGCTTGAGCTCACAGAACTCAGGAAAATGCTTAGCTTTACTACTCTTTTAAGGATGTTTTAAAAGATAGAAAGATGCACAGGAGGAGATGAGTGGAGCGTTCATACCTTCTTCTGCAGCATCACTCTCTAGGAACTTCCATGTGTAGTTAGCTGTCTGAAGCTTTCAAACACTGTCCTTTGGAACACTTCATTTCATATGAAAGTTTGATTGACTCATATCTCAACATCTGCCCTACTGGGAAGTTAAGAAATTGGACTGAAAGACCTTCTTCTCTAGTTTCACCTTGGTCTTTCTCGTGAATAGTTTTTGTCCTGTAGTCCATTCTGACTAGGAAGCTAGTAGTATCCTCCTTTAAACACTTAACACATACAGTCTCATTAAAAACTCTATTTAGAACCTTCCTTTGCACTTTGATTAGAATTTATAATTCTTACCCTGGCTCCCAGTGAATTGAATACTGTTTATCATTCTAACACTGTTTATACCATTTATACCACTGTTCATTGTGATAATGCACAGGAGGAGTGTGATAATGCACATTGGCTTATTTTTGTTTTTGTTTTTTTGAGGTAGGATTCAGCTTTGTAGTGCAGACTGACCTTGAACTCACCAAGTAGTTCAGAGTGGTCTTGAACTTGTGAGAATCTACCTGCCTCAGCTTCTCAAATGCTGGGAATAAGGCATGTGCCTCCATATATAGCTCACATCGACTTTCTTTTAGGCTCTCAACTACAATTTGTTAACCATCTCAAAATCTTCTTACTACCTATTTCTTCTGTTTGGCATATGCTTTTTTCTCCTCTGATGCTCCCATGATTGAATACTTTTTATATTCACTTGTTAGAATGAGTATCATTTGAGGGAGAGTATTGTAGATATTCAAATTAAAGTAATACTCAGGTTATATTTATTTTTAATATATATCTTGTTTATATATGTATCTTGATATTTTCTTGTTTGTTCCTGTTTTTGTCTTTAGTAGACTGTAATTTCTATAAGAATAAGGACTTTGTCTTAGGTACTGCTACAATTCTGTTGCTTCTGTTGCTCAGAATAGTAGTATAAAATAAGTGTATAAACAGTTATTGAATGTACAGATACAAATATGTATATGTATTAGTGAATTCAGATAATTGTGTTAATATGTAGCACATTTATTTATTGGTTCTTTACATTTCCTTTTATGTGCATTTGGGATAAACACCTAATGTCTGCCTCTTAGTTGGAGAGACATTGGTAAAGCAAAACATTCTGAATCCACCAAATAGTTGGAAACTATATGTATGTTTCTTTTGAATAAAAGCTTATTTTTTAGCTGTATAAATGTTTATTTTACAGTGCAAAACATGCATCTTTTCTCAAAGATATCTTAATTATCCACATTTATGTCCTAAGAGCTTTAATTGATAGAGATCAGTGTCACAATAATGACATCTCTTGTTTTGCTGAAATAGTGTACCTAAGTATGTTACTGTTTGACAGGGTTGCTTTATTTTATCCTAGTTGGTTAGAAGCAAACACTGAACATCTTGTAGAAAGGGATTATGAGTCATCTTGTAAAATATGGACTGGAAATGAAATGCTCTTAAATTTATACAAAATGGGCATCACTGCTGCTACATTTCCCATTTTGCAGGTAAGATTTTTTTTTCCTAACTGTAAAATTCATCTAGTGACTTAGATGTGTTTAGTGATGAATAAATTTGTAAGTCCAGTGAATAATCCAGAATATTTTCAAACATTAGCAATTAAATTTTTAGGTTAGTATCTAAATTTGGTCATCTTTAAGTGATGGTATCAAATATTAGGTGAAAATAGCAATATAGTTTGAAGGAAATAATACTTTAATGGGAAGTATTAACTGGGTGTGATGCTACACACCTATAATCCTGGCACTCCAGAGGCTGAGGCAGGAGGATCACCAAGTTTTTTTTTTTTTTTTTTTTTAACTTTATAAAGCAGAAAACTGGCAGAAATAGTACATACTTTCAAAGAAAAGAAATAAACAGTAATAAATCACTAGTTGATGTATATATATTGTCCCCCTACAAATAGTTGTTCAAGATACAAAATTGGAGCATATAAATGGGAAGTCAACCAGGGAGACTGCAAACAGTTCTGTTCAACTATCCAACAAAAACTAAGTAATATGGTTATCAATTCTATACACTTAGACATGTACACATTTATCCATATCTTCATTTATGTTGAGACCTAACAAACTTATTAGATTAAAATCCTTCTGAACAAAGATTAATAATATTGCTGGATTTCACATCATAACACTCTGGAATTAGCACCGGGTACTGCAGTGCCCCTTTCTTTCCTTCAAAGTATTTGTTCATTTCATCATGTGTCATCAGATCAGTTCTCATAAACTGTTTATAGGTTTTACGCAAGCATGAATCTTAATATGTATTTCTATCCTTTTTATGTTAGAGGGAGAAACAGAACAAAGCAGGACAGAACTAAACATATTCCTATAGACACTTAAAACTAAAAAGACATGTAAAACTGCTGTATATTTGAGTTCTACCATTGTCACTGTGCTGTTTCTTGTTGTCATCAACCAAATTGGCTATATCATTAGATAAAGTATAATTGAACATATCAATCAGTACATAACAGAATTAACAGAAATACAACTTTGTAGATATTGTAGAACTACAAAAACAGGTAGTAATCAAATCAGAATGGGTATCGTGGTGAATCATTGTCGTTTGCAGTATAGTTGTCTATACTCCTCAACTTAATACTAGCAACCTAACAGTTTTGAATAAAATCTGTCAATAATAAGCAGTATTCAAACAAGTCAGATTTAACTAAGATCAGTCATGATACAACAGTATAAGTCACACAGGGATCCTGATTGAGTTAATAGGAAATTAAAGATGACCACTGTGTTATGTCCTGATATCTTCGGGGCAGCTGTCTGTGCCTTCAGATCCAGTGCTTGTATAAAAACTGGGATGGAACAAGTTCCAACCAACCAGAGTGGTGTGAGTAGTAAGGGTTTTAATTCCTACAGTATTAGCTATATCTTCTGCTGTTTTTTAAAAGACTATTCCTCCCCTTTACTCTCCCAGAATGAACTATATATTTTTGGGTCTCCCCATCACTAATGGTTTTATACCTGGGGGGAGGGGCAACCTGCTATTTACCTAAGTGTTTTCGAACTTTCTCATTCCTGGGCTAGATTTCTAGTTATATTTCTTCATTTGTTAAAGACTGTCTGTTTAACCTATCCATAATTACTGGCTCAGTTACCCCTATTACTCTCTGATTCCCGATCACATCGAGTTTCATATTTGAGTTCCATATTTTCTCATATTTGATTTTGGTCTATATAATCTTCTTGAGGCTAATTACATTTCCTATAAAGAGCCTCTCAGTGGACCCTACCTCTTGATCCACTCTGCCCGCAATTCTCTCTTTTTTTCCCTTAAGTTAGTGTATTTAGGCCATCTATATAAGAAATTATATCCAACCTTCTTTGCCTCATTTCTGTTGTACTCTTTTTCTGTCATTAGTTGTCTGTTTGTCTTTGTCATTTCGCTTTCTGCTCCATTCATTGTGGCCTCTCTGCCATTGTTTCTGGAATCCTGGTACTTTTCTCTCTCTCACAATGTCCTACAGTATTCTCTGAGAGTTAGATTGGTGGTTGCAAATTCCCCCAATTCCTCTTTATCTTGGAAGCACCTTGTTTCTCCATTAATTTCTAGGGACAGTTGTGCAGGATATATTAATCTTGGCTGGAAGTTATTGTCTTTCAAGGCTTGGATTATTTTGCCCCATGCTCTTCGAGATTTGATGGTTTGTGCCGAGAGGTCTGCTGTAATTGTGATGGGTGTTCCCTTGTAAGTGATCTGTTTCTTGTCTCTGACAGCTTTTAATATTCTGTTCTTATATTGGATTTCTGGAATCTTGATTATCATATGCCTGGGTGTAGTTCTGTTTTGATTGTAGGTGGCTGCAGTTTGTATGCCTCATACATCTGAGCATCCTTTCCTTTTCCTATGTGTGGGAAGTTTTCCTTGATTATTTCTGTGAATAGCCTTTGCAGTTCCTTTGTTTGTACCCCTGCTTCTTCTTTCACATTCTTTATTCTTAAGTTACAGATCCTCTTGTCATCTTCTAGCCTTTGTATTGTTACTGCTTGTTTCCTTGTTATTTTTAAGAAGTTTTTCCTTTCATGTTCCTACATTACAAATCTGTCCTCCAGTTCAGATAATCTATCCTTAGTTTCTTTTAAGCTGTTATGCCTGCTTTCAGTAGAGTTTTTGGTTTCCTGGTAATCTCTTTGAACTTGCTTCATGTATTCTATGTTTTCTCTATCTTCTCCATCAAACAACCCCCCCCCCCTTTTTTAATCAGTACCAGGGATCTAACTCACGACTGCCTGCTTACAAGGAAGGCACTTACACCGCTGAGCTAAATTCCCAGCCCTCTCCCCATTTTTTTTGTCCTTCCATTCCACCATCTGTTTTTTCTTGGGAGGTGCTTAGCATTTCTTTAACTATTCTACTTTTATCTTGCTTTACTTCGTTAAATACTTCACTTTTGAACTTGTCTATGAGGTCCCAAAGATACCACTTTATGTCTATTGGTGCCATGCCTGATATTGCATGTTTTATGTCCTCATTCTCCTTTGCATTTGCCTTTCCTGGATCAGTGTTCTCAGGATTGGGGTCTGAGGACCCTTTCTTGTTGCCTTCTCTTCTCATATTTTTTGTTCCTTCCATGTGGGCTTATATAGGAGGCCCCGTTTCTTTCTTTGTCGGTTTCAGTTTGTCTGAAGCGTGCTGACTAGGTGGTTCCGCCCACTGCATTGTACTAGGAGGTACAGACCTGGGCAGCCTGTGTTGGGCCTGCCCCTCCAGGTCAACCTGCTGAAGGCTTCACTGCATTAGGATGCACTGCCAGGTGCAGGGACCTGATTTGGGCTAGCATATTGGGCCTCAGTCCGTGGCATCACCTGGGTCCAGCGCTCCCCACCAATCCCTCTTTAGAAGGGAATATGTGACTCAAGTCACTGCAGCGTCCTGTTCTGGCCAGTCTGCCGGGTCCCAGAATGTCCTCTGTTGGAGCCTCTTTGTGGAAGGGTCTCCGTTCCTCTCACTCACCGCAGGTCGATGCAGGGTTCCCCGCCAGCTGTGCTCTCAATTTGGTTCACTGATTCCCACTCTCAGAGCATTCACATCTCTGCTAAGTTGAAACTAGCAGGCTGTCTGGTTGTGCCAATTCAGGCATGGCATTGGCAGGGTATTCAAGCCGCAGGTTCCAGTGGTGGCACTGAGACTTTAGCTGTTCCAATCATAGCACTGGGATTGCATTTCCAATTCGTTTCTCTCAGCTTAGTTCGTTCCTGGGTCAGCAGGGTATATCTCCCTCTGCTTCAGACTCCCCACACTGCACCATTCCTGGAATTTAAGTTGGGTATCTCATAGAGCCTCTGTAGCTGCTGTTATCTATCTGCCATCTTCTCTCGATCTCAAGGAGGATCGCCAAGTTTAAGGCAAGCCAGAACTTTATAGTGAGTTTCAGGCTCGCCTAAATTACACAACAAGATCCGTTTCAAAAAACAAACAAAACTCACTAACAACAAAAAAGAAAAAAAAATAGTGCTTTGTTGAAAGTTAAAAGGAATCAATTTTTTTTAAGATGTAATTTTTTTGTTATTTATAAGAGTTAAAATTTTTGGAAATAAAAGGAGAAAAAGTTCATATTTTATTTAACTTAGAAATTAAAAACATAGAGTTCATGGGTAAAGATCATGAATGAATTTCAGGGACTATGAATCTTACTAAACTGCATACAAAATTCACCGGGGATCAAACTCATGATTTCATGCTTGCCAGACAGGCACTTGTGCCACTGAGCTATATCCCTGACCGAAACAGTAATTTTACTATTTACTGAAACATGAATTTACCCTATTATTGACAGTAGTATTAGTAGAGTACATTTGTTACACTGATAAATAAATATTGATACATTAAAGTCCATAATTGACTTTAGAATTCAGCGTTTGTGTTGTATGACTCAACTCAGATTTGCCTAGCAGTCTACCATGACAGTATTATATAAGATACATTTTTTTTGTCCTAGAAAATCTTCTGTTTTGTACCTGTTCATCCCTGTATTACATCATCTCTTATTCCTGCCAAATTCTTACCATTGACTCCACAGGATTGTCTTTTCCAGAATGCCATGTAATTGGAATTGTGCAATATATAATCTTTCTAGATTGGTTCCTTTCACTATGTGCTTGAGATTCCTCTGTGTCTTTTTTGTGATGCAAGGGGTCAAACCCAACATCTTGCACATCCTCTAAGACTCTTGATGGCTTTGATAGCTCATTTCTTTTTATTGCTGAAAATATTCTATCATCTTGATCTACCAAAGTTTGATTATCACTCACCTACTGAAAGACATACTGGCGGTTCCCAGTTTTGGCCAATTATAAATGAACTTGAAATAAACTTTTGTGCTTATGTTTTGGTGTGGACATATTTTCTACTCATTTTCATAGGAGCATAGTTATTGATTGCATGGTAAAATAATATTTAACTTTGCAAGAATTTGCTAAACTGTCTTCTAAAATGGCTATACTAACTGCGTTTTCACTAGTAGTAA